TCACATGAATGTTAAGCACGGGCTTTCTGAGCGTCAGATGGCGCTTGAATCCGTTGAGGACTTTCGTTTCGAAGACCACGCATTCGCAGGCATGCCCACGTGCAAACATTGTATGAGGTCCTTTACAGGTGTCCCCCAGCTCCGGAATCACATCGTCGCCCAGGTGTGCCCGAAGCTCCACGGCGTTACGCAGCCAGCAAAAGCGCCCGTGCCGCAGCCCGCACTTCCCTCTGCTGCAGATGTCAACTGTGTGCCTTTGCGAGACCGCCCGACGACACTCCATTGCCTCAAGCAGGGCGGTTGGCGAGAGTTAGCGAGGTCCCCGCGCTTCAAACAAACAGCCCTGGAGCACTGTCCATTGTGTCATTTGTGGGTTGCCAATGGTAGTGGACAGGTCAAACACAAGGACCTTGCTAACATCATCAAGCAAGTCATTGCTGAGTGCCGGGCTGACACAACCGACATCACATCAGAATGCCAGCTCTGTAGTAGGGAGTGGAAGGGTGCTAAAATAAGACACAGGGAATCTTGCACAGTGCTTTTTGCTGCTCGATTGTTGGAAACACTTCTTATAGGCAAACCTCAGACGACACATGATGACCAAGACTCCGTTGATGGAATTCGAGGAGGTGTTCACGGATGCCTTTCAGGGAGCCAACAAGAGGAGCAGCCCGGGACCTCTCGAGGAGAGGCCAGCACAGCAGCCGAAGGGCAAAGGTCGGGGGAAACACGACGATCGAGGCCATCAGATGAGGGGTCGCTACAGAGGCTTCCAGCCTCTGGGGGCGAGGAGTTCGACCGAGGATCAGGGGTTCGAGGGCTTCGGATCCAACATAGGCTACATGACTCAGGATTGGCAGCAGCCGTCGGCACCATGGAGATCGGGGTATTCGAACCACCAGGTCCAGGAGCTTCAGCAGCAGGTAGATCAGATGTCCCGACTTCTACATCGCCACGAGCTCGAGATCATGCATCTACGTCCTACGTGTCGATTCAGGATTCGTCCTTCACCTAGGTGCAGGGACGAGAGGAATCATTCGGACATTGGTTGCAGCGAGCGCGGAGTATGCGACCAAGAAAACGAAAGAACCCAGGATGAATTTAACCCTGAAGCAAACAATGATGTTGACTGTGTTCAGGACCTTGAAAGATCGACTTGCCAAGATGGAGGAGACACCGGACCTACTGGCCCATGTTCGGAAACTGGGATGGCATCACCCAACGGACAGCCAATGGCTTCATCTCAGGTGGAGCCAGGAGCGAGAGCAGCTCATTCCAGAGGAGCCACAAAGGATGTTTCCACATGCAGCCTTGAGCGGTCACCTGGACAGCATTCTGGAGATTCTCGAAGAAGACAAGGTGTTGCATCAATTCAATGCCACCCGCCGCTTCAACGATCAGACAGACAGCACAGTCATGTTTTTCATCCGAGTGTCACTTCAGGGGCAGAAGGCCCAGCTGTTGTTCCAGCGTCTCCTGGCCCTATGCGGTCTGGGATGCCTTCAGATGATCGATGCCACATTGCGCAGGGAAAGATTGGAGCCACAGCCGTTGGCCAAGCAGCTTCGCAACCTGAGCGATCGTCGCAATCGCTACTGACATCCTCGAGTCCTCCCCTCAGGGGGCTCACACCCTTGCAGTGGCACGCCAAGGTCAAGGCATGGAAACTTCGCAACCAAGGTTGCAACTCTTGTTATGCCAATGCTCTGACCTTATGCCTGCTCTGGATTGAGGGGTGCTCCAACACCAGCATTTTGCAAGGTCCAGCGGGCAACTCATTTCGAACCTTGATGCAGGCGGGAACCCCAACAGACTGTCAACAGATTTATGGTCCATTATGTCATGGGTATCAGCCACGAGAGGGTGGACACAACCCAGGCGACAACATGATGTGATTGAGTTTCTAACATTCTTGAGTCGCACTCTTAATCAGGGGGCCATCAAAGGAAAATGGGGAGCAGCGGGGTCCGCGCTCCACCACGACAGACTTGAGGTGGTGGATTCGGGATCCACGTGGCCGCTCCTTCTGGCTACTAGGCCAGCCTCGTCTGATGGAGATCCCACACCTTGTATGGCATGCACTCTTCAAGACTTGGTCACACGCTG